TGATTCCAGATCCAGTGGTAAAAATCATACGAGACTGGGTAATGTTAAAAAAGAATCTCAGGAAACAAGTATGAGTTCCGCAGATCTCCTGGGTTTACACCGACCATTTCATCCTCAGGTTTAGATGCCAGAATTCTTCACAGTTCATATCTAAGCAAACTCTAAAGAATAAAGGAGGCACACAGCAAAGCTATGCAAACTACAGTCCTAATTTTCAAAGCGAAGGAGCTTGAGAAAGAGTGCACCAATAGTGCACTAGTGAGTTTTTATTATTGGAAGGAAAACAAGTATTTAAAACTAGACCAGAGAAGCATGAGGCATTCCAATAAAGAGAAATAGTTTCATAATATTAAGAAAAAATCTGAAATTATACAGCAATACAGGCATTCACTCACCTGCTTTTCACTACCCAAGTCTGGACTATATCAATGCGCCTGAGCCCCTGGGATGCACAGATAACGTGAAAGGCTTTTTGGCAAGAGGTTTTACCTCCTGACATCTCACAGGCCTGAGCTTTGGCAACTATCACAGCCATAACGTGCCTGGCACAGACGATGTTTCACTTGAGCAAACAGGAACAACAGCGCTGCTCAAGGCAACCAGGAGTTCTAACAGTGCTGCTGCATAAGCAAGTGATGCAATCGTAATGTAATGTGATACCTTATACAAAAATATAATGGCTTAATAGCATCTAATGTATTATTTCAAGTTTGCCTCAGCTTTCCTGAAGTAAACAAATAAGAACAGCAGCATTTCCAGCTAATGTTTGTGACTGCACAAATATAATCAAGAAGTGCTCATAAGCCAATAATTTTCTCAAGGTTGACCGCCCTCGACACGTAATGTGTCCTAAGTTACACTTCTCCTTCTTTTACACTCTTGCAGTTGTCCTTCATGTAGTCAGCTAGATGCAACATATGGTTTTTCATTAAACTAGCCTTGTAATATTGTGACATCAATAAAACGCCTTCCTTATTTGCTGCCACTCAATAGCGAGTTAATTTCTGCTTTTGCTTTCTTACAGAAGAGTTCTGAGAAAGTTTGTTCTGTATAACATAAGACAGAGTGAACACAAAAGCAGGTATCTTTCTTTTTTTAAAAACAGCTAGGTCAGGCCATAAAAAAAATCTAGAAGAGGAGGAACTGAACTGAATCAGGTAATTTTATCATTTCAGATTTTTAACTTATGGTTAAGTGCACATAGCATATGCCCTGCTGTTCCAATTATGGCCTGCTTGATACCTTTCTCCTGCTGCTTGCACTGACAACTAGTGCTGCACCTGGATTACAGCCACTGCCATGTGAAAGACTGACAATAATTGCTAGATGTATTAACATTCTCTGAATTGAACTTTCTTTAAGGTGGAATTTAATCCTCTGGGCCTCATAACACATTTTAAACATAGTTGAGCAATGACAGGATCACTCCACCAATTAAGTGTAAAACAGGAATATTTAGGTATAAAATTGAGTAAGATCACCAAGGTCAGAATCAGATCAATGCATGGAAGGTAAATTATCCCACAGAATCAGAAAACTTCTATAGGTACAATCTGCTATATTCTCATCAATTAGGAATGATGTTTTCTGCACATTTGTTAATCTGTTCTTTCAAACACTGGAAAACATACTTAAATTGTACACTGCTTTCTTCATGAAAGAGAGATGAACAAGAAGAAGAAGAGGCAGGAGTATCTCTCATCCAACATACTCTAATAATATGAAGAGTACACTGGAGTTCATTGCCACTCCTAGATTTCTACTGCATACACTACATTCCTAATGGATTCTTCTGAAAGAAACATTGGACCGTACACCCTCCTTCCCTTCCTTCCCTCAAAAACTTACGGCCAGCCATTCATCTATGAATCTATTCCCAACGGGAACCATTAGTACCATTATCCGATGGGTCATCAGAAAGGAATGAAGAGACACAAAATGGTAGAAGGCTTAACTCAGGAACAGGAGGGGAAAACATTAAAAAACATGAAGCAGAAGAGAGACAGTCTTTGAAATTAACTTATATGAAGAATTTTAGTTTCTTCTGGTAAAGACATTTATGTCATATCCAGTTAAATCCCTATATGTAGGTACCGACAGTCTGCTTTGTGTGTGTGTGTGTGTGAGTGTGCGTATGTGTAAATAGCCACAAAAAACACCCTCATCATCCATTTAATTTCTTAAGAAGGCAACAGGAAGGAAATTTCAATGTATGGAGAAGCTAAAATATCCAGTCTTCCTACTGTTGACCTACTCTATCCTTAAAACAAACATGCATTAAACCATTCACAGAAACAAATACTAGAATCACACATTTAAAATAGCAGAAAGAGCACCCAGCATATCTCATTTGCTACCCAGCTGCCATTTAACATCCCTGTATTTTGATTTAACAATAATTCACGTGTTCTTATACACATACACAGGAGTGACTGTACAGCTGCTTAAGTGCATCGTCTACTAGTACTCTTTCAAGACAACTCAAGTTTTTTGCTACATCAAGGTCTTCTGCCTGCAGCTGCTCCACATGGTAAATTCCCTTTTCAGTGAATTGGTGCCCTCTTCCAGAACAGATGCAAAAATCCAACTCTTAATGAAAATATACAATGCCACTTGATTTTAAGAACAAAGTATGATTTCACACCCTAAGTACTCATAATTCTGTATTCAAATGATGCTTTTAATTGCGAAGGGAATTCCATAACCCTTCCATTCTCAGGGAAAATTACTATTTTTTTTCCCTGGAGCTTGAGAACAAATCCAGTACGTTAACAATGTATTTTATTTTTTTTTTTTTTAATGAGCATGCTCCAGCTGCTGTTTCAGAGCACAGTTCTAAGTTGCAGATAGAAAACCCCTGTATCCTGCTCACTACAGCTCCAGTTCTGAGAGACAGTCTGCTACTGAACTAGACACAAGATTTGAAGGTCGAATTAAATGGTTTATCTACAACCTGAACTTAGTGAAAATCTGATTCTAAATAAATTGGTCTAAAAGTGATTAGTGACATCAGTACCATAAACAAGATTTCAGACAAGCTGTACGCATGTTCACGCATCTATAAGTAAAGTATTATAACCATTTAACCACCTTTTAAAATTTAAGATGGGTCCTATTTTGCTATACTAATTTTTATTTCCATATCTTTTCATGTTGGATGCTTCAAAGTAGCTTGTGTAATAGTGTTTAATTCTCAGAGACTGCACCAGTGTTGGTAACTTGTAGAAGCAATGCAAGTCTGCTACACACCAGCACTAATAAATTCACAGAGGATACCTGTATTTCCCTATGGAAAAATAACACACAAGATGATGATGAAAAATCTCACTCCATTGGAGAGAACAAAAACTCAGCGTTCTGGCCTACTTAAGGGGAAAAGCCCAGAGGGAAAGCCTCTAGCCATTAGTCAGAATGCAGCATAAGAATCACAGCAAATTAACAACAATCTGGCAAAGGCAAACACGGGGGGAAAAAAAAAAAAAGAACTTTGAAGTCAAACAAGAGTAAGACAGACTTTTTAGGAAATCTACTCTTGCAGATATGACAGCCTAATCCATAGAGTTTAGTAAAAATTACCTAGTGCACAAAAATTACTTAATGAGTTTATCAGACTAATGATTTCTTCTATTCATTACTTCCTGGTCATATAAATGAATATATATATATATTTGATTGCCCAACTTGAATTTTCTTTTAAAAACAAGAACATTTGAGTGGTGCAATTTACTTGTTCATAGTTCATGATGCTTATAAGAAGGAAAAACACATCTGCCTTGAAAAAAAAAACCTGTAAACTTTTAGGAAGCAAATTGAAAGTCATCATTTCTCCATAGTTAAAGACACAATAATTAAATAAACATGGCATAATAAAACAGAAAACAAAGAGGGGAAATCACCACTGAAGCATATACAACTGAATGGGAAAAATAGAACAGAACTTAAGAAAAAAAGTTCTTATAATTTATCTTAACATCCATCAGCAGACGTGCACCAATCTTTCACACTAGGTGCAAATCATTTTGTGATTCGCTTCTCCTACCTGACCAACCTTCTGCTTCGGTCCAAAATGATTCAGTAAAGCTTCTGAGCATTTTAAGCACTTTTTATTCTTTATATCACACACACACACACACACACACATTGTATTTGGACTGCCAGCTTAGAATTCAGGCATACGTTTAAATGCATCTGTTGCACAAGTAATTAAAAGCAGAATAAAATATCAGAAATAAAGGATTTCATCTTATATCACTTTTACATAAATGACTTGGAATAGTTCTGATGCTGTTTTCTTATCTTCAGGGAACATTAAAAAAACCAACCTTCTGTAAACCGGTCCACTTCAGTGGCCACCAGATCTGGGGTAACCTGGCAATCCAGTTTTCATTTCTGATACTCAGACACACACTCAAGAATCTCACTGACATTACCATAAGCTCATCAGCAAAAACCTGCTGAACAGCTACCCATCGGGTTCAGAGAGCCACCACAGTCCATTTTATCTTTAAATAATTTGACTTAAGAAACCCAAATTCTGTGAATTGAATAAGTGAACAACTCTTACATCTCTTAAAGAACACAGCTGTGCATACAGCAATTATTACTCTGAGTAACGCTGAGTACCCAAAGTAAAAGACACTTCTGGCATTTAAAGGAACAGAGGATTATCCTACGTTTAAAGAAAACAACAAACAACCCAATGCTTCTTACTTGCTTACATCAACAGAACACCAAGTACTATTTGTACCTGTAAAATTAATTCAACTCTTGGTTGTTTATTACTTTTTTTTTTTTTCAAACCTATAAATACTATGCAGTAGCAAAAAAAAATAAATCAACAAAAACCCACCACAATGGTGAGGGAGGCAATCGACAGCAAATTTTATCACTTCATGTTTACAGCGTTCTAAGACTAAATCCTTATATTTTCCAATGCTGTCTCCTCAGAATATTATTATACGTTTTATTTCTGCAAATAAATGACTTAGCAAATTACTCACCGGCAGTGTTTATGTGATCCTGTTAAGGTTTCAATCACAAAGCATTCCCCTTCATTGAGACAGTATGCAAGATCCTTGTCTTTGCATGGCTTAAAGTGCTCAGATCGCTCCGTGGAATACGTTGTAGTATCTACAATGAGAAAAAAAAAAGAAAAAAAATGCCTTAAGGCTAAATATTTTTAAACTGAATGTTATTAAATTTAATACAAGTAATTTCCATAACTTGTACTGATCAAGACAGTCTAAATAATTAGGATACAGCAACAGCACAAGGCAAGCAAACTTCAATGTGACGACAAAGTTCTTCACAATAAAGCTATTTAAAAGTGTCACAAAAGGAATCTTACATTTGGAAGCACAGACAGAAAAAGAGGAACTGAAGCAAAATTGAGTATAATTTCCAACCACTTCCAATTTTCAAAGCATGCCATCTAAAAGTTAAAATAACATATTTTATCGTAAGATCTCACATTTTTAAACAATGGTAGCTGTCAATGCTGTTGAAGAAACTAATACAAGTTCATCTTCTATTATTACATTTTTATTAATACCAGAAGAATAGTAGAATAGTTAAGGTTTATTTTCATATTAATTTAATTCAATACGGTTTAAATAGGATATTTATTTTTTCTTGACAAAAAACCCTCACTCTCACTGATGCACACATACAAAAGAATAACACAAAATGAAAGAAAAACCTAAGGTAAAAACAATGCTATTTGGATTCATCTATCACAAAAACTGGCCTATAATAAAAAGAAAATACAAGGCACCACAGATTATTTCATTTCAGGAATATGTTCTGTAGGTGCCTTCTCCTTCGCTTCTCCTCCCGCCCCAACAAAAAAGTTAGTTATAGAATGGTCTATTACCAGTAAATTTGCTATGTATGGGTAGATGATGAGATCTGGAACAGGCTATCGGCATGTCAGAGTAAGCCATCATCCCTGCCTTCCAATGTATTCATTTTACCCTTCCAATCCAGTTGGATAAATAAAGAAACTTGTCAGAGGAAGATGTCTGACAGACAACACTTATATTTTCTCCAACAAACTTCTAAGCAAGCACAACTTTCAAAGCAGACAACATCCTTCATACAGAGTCTTCATTCTCAAAACCTATATTCTTACTCACTTAGCTGAGACAAGGAGCACGACCTGATATACTAATGCACGCTCAAGTTATAAGAGAGCATTTTAGCATATTAAAGACAACCAGGAACATTCTTCTACTGCCAGAGGAATGAGACTATGTTTGATTCACATGGGATACTGCAAACAACAGTACAACAGCAACATATTAACTTTTTGCTTATAACTGGAAACAAATATAAATATCCACTAAGTAAATAACAAAGCTGAAAAATAAAGCACTGAATTACTAGAAGACATCAATACGTGTGATTTGCAGGTATATTTAAGTAAACATGCATTAAAATAAATGAATTGATTCTGTTTTCGTCCTCAGAAGAATGAACTATGAATAATAAAGAATGATACTTCATAAGATCTCCCCATTCCAAGAAGCTTGCAATGTAACCATTAATTCTGAGTGTATTTAAAGAATAACAGCACTAAAAGGTTTCCTTGTCACCCATCCTAAAAAGAGGAAGATTAATAAAACACTTTTAATGATCCACACTCAATTGTTCCCAAGAGAAATTATTTTAGTTCTAAGTTCTTAAGAAAAAAACAAACTAACATTAACATTCTCCCTTTCAATAATTACACAGATTTAGAATGAGGGGTCTTGCTACACTCCCTGTTACTTTGCTGAAGATGATAAATGTCAGCATCTTTCAGAAATGCCGAGTAGTGGAACGTAGGAAAAAGGCACAGGCTATAAAAAACTACTCTTCCTTAATGGATGCAAGCAAGCCCTGTAGTGAAATGTATCAGATTGAATTTTGGAAACAATGAGAGACGTATGTAAATGCAAACAGGGACAAGCATGTCTGCTGACATTTCAAAAGAAGATCAGGTTCTGTATAACAACAATATCCTCAGGTCGAAACAAACATCCAGTCACCTTTTCAGGTCAGTTTCATGCAGGAACATATGCACTGTCATTGAAAATCATTGTAATAAATTCATACACGCACACACACAACAGTAATCAATTTCCATTCCTTTTAAATACGGAAAAATGACGATAGCATTATTTGCAAGCACTTGTGCTAATTATGTTGATTATCAAAGGTAACTAGAAGCGTTTGATGAGCAGCATCTCAGCTCCATATGCTTTAGAGAACAGATCACTTATGTTTGTCAGCACGCCCTGAAAAAACTACCCGTGCAGATAGCCTTATGAGGGTACTCATGTTACACACCAAAGCAATCTGAGACATCCCCAAAGGCCAACAGGAAGAACAAGGAGGCAGGCAATACCCCACAGCACATCTCTGCAGTACTGACGTACACACTTCTACTTCACCGCTGTGCTCTGAGAAGGAACAATCACAGAATCACAGAATTGCCAGGGTTGGAAGGGACCTCAAGGATCATTAATCTCCAGCCCCCCTGCCACACGCAGGGCCACCAACCATCCCACCTAATGCTAGACCACACTGCCCTGGGCCCCATCCAATCTCGCCTTGAACACCTCCAGGGATGGGGAATCCACAACCTCCCTGGGCAGAAGATCCTCTTCCACCCACAACTGCCTTGTCAAGGTCGGCATTTTCAAGTTTTAGATTAAACACGTTCTTCGGAGGCTTGGTTCTAACTTGATTCACTTCTCTGTTCAGTATTACTGAAGATCAAATCTATGAAATGCAACTGAAGTTTTCATGAAGCTTAACATTCTGCTGCTGCTTTTGTTTCATGTTGCATTCATAGTCAGACTCTTTTTTTTAAACATACATATGTGGCTTTATGCAATATTGAAAAAAAAACAATCTAGGAACTTGCTCTCAACAGAACTGCAGAAAAAACAAAGCAATTGATAACACTGTAGAGATTACCTAGTTTTCTCAATTTCTTTTCTTACAGATTTTATTCTATTTTGCTTCTTGCTTTGAGTGCTCAAATGATGTTTCAGCTGCCCTGTCCTTCAGGAGCTTGCTAAGTATCCACTATTTTATTGTCAAATCAGAACTTCTTTCAAGGGCTCTCTTTTTATCAGCTATAAAACTTAAGCATTCACAAAATTATTTCATCTTAATTCATTCACAGTCTTCGCACATGGGTGCCAGACTCAAGCACTTATAGGTAACAAAAAGGAGCCTCTGTTAAGCATTCAGACATGTTTAAATTTACTACTTAAATGCCAAAAATCCATAAATCCCTAAGGTCTTTCGTCCCCCACCCTACCACTATTATTATTATTATTTTTTAATTGCTAAGTGTCCAGGTGTTTAACCTAAAAGCAGCGGGGAACACTGATTTCTACTGGAATCTTTCTAACTAAAAGGGAATAAAGAATGCCTAGGTGCTTTTGCTCTATTTTTACTGTCTCATCTGCAAAGCTTTATGTGCAAGTCTCCCACTCCAGATCTGGATATACTGCTGTCACGTCTCTGATATGAAACAAACAAGATTTCAGGTTTCAAGGTAAGGCCTGAAGATCCCTTGAATGGTTGAAAAAAGAAAAAAAAAAAAATCATTTGGGAGTGCTTAAGACAATGTCATTAGAAAGTTTTCAGATATTGGTATCTTTTGTTATAACCTAAAGATGTGCTAGCAACTTGGTATTTTTATGTTCTCTCATTAATTTATTCCACCATGTTTATATCAGCACAGGATGATTCATCACAGCTAATCTATTGAATGCTCTACAAAGCATAATATGGATACTATAAATACCACCTCCCCCATTCAAGGCTACTGGAGTCATTGTTTCCAGTATCATGCGCTGATATTAATAAACCTGTAATTAAATAGGACAAATGCAGGAAAAGAGAGAGCGTGAGACTTAAAATACCCTGGAAAACAGTAACATACATGGCAGCTATTTCTAGGTAGTCTGTAGTAGGAGCAAGCATTCCCACTCATCACATTGAGCTTGCCACATTCTAGATTTAGAAACAGATATCACTGAATACATCTCAAACAACAAATAACTTTTTGACAACATTAAAAAAAAATCCATACAACATGGATCTCCTTGTAAATAGCTTTTCCACATACACAGCTGCCACAGAGTAACAAAAAAAAAAAAATCTAGAAAAACAAGAAATAAAAAGATTCTGCTTAACCTTTCTGAAGATAACAGCGGACAGACATGCAAGTCTCAAAGCCTCATATTAACATTCACTTATGTGGGTAAAGCAGCAACCTAGTGCATTAGAAAGGACTGTTTAAGAACAAATATGAGTTCTGTGCTAGAGGCTACGTGCTGGAAAAACTACTTGTAAAACTCTGCTTGTTTTGACTTACTATTGTGTATCATCAGCTTTATACCTTAAATATCAACTAGGCTAGCAAATTGTTATCTGTAATTGATAATTTCTATGAACTGTTGACTGATGTAACTGAAAAAAGTGACGTGGTTTTTTTTAATTCAATCATCACATTTTTAAATGCACTACCAAAAAGAAAGCAAATTATATATATATTTCCTCCTACCACACAAGTCCAATTACAAAACAAAAAAAACAAAGCCTATTAAAAAAGAGCTGCTTCTGACAAAGTGTTTATATCATGTAAGTAGACTATACTGACAATTGCTTAAAGTAAAGTCTCTATATTGATTACGTTGGCCCAACACATCAGAGATGGGTATTGGTGGTACGGCAGTAGAGACTGAACTGCCAGCAAATACAGGATCATGTCAAACGAGGGGAAATGGGCACAAACTGGAACATGCCAAGTTGCACTCAAACACTATGTAGAACTTGCTTATTTTCAACTGTGAGACTGCCAGAGCACTGGAACAGGCTGCCCAGAGAGGCTGCGGAATTTCCTTCTCTTGAGGTATTCAAAGAAATATTCAAGACCCATCTGGACACTTCCTTGTATTACCTTCTGCAGGGGAGTTGGACTAAGTGACCTCCAGACGTCCCTTCCAACACTTACAATTCTGTGATTCTGTAACTAACTTGAAAAATAATATTTTGTAGCTAATTTTGTAGCTAATAATTTGCCCTACCACTGTTATTGAAAGTTCTGCATCTATTTAGCTTCCACAGTA